TTTTTAAAAAGAATCTCAGACAAAATTTTATAAATAAATATATATATATATATATATATTTGTATATAAAATATATTGCTAAGGACGGGAGAACTGAAATATTCATCTCTAAATAGTTAGAACTAAAAAGTGTTTCATTCAAGGAGATGTAAGATACAAGATTGACTTAAAGTAGTTATCAAAACTAGCTATTTTCATCTAACTGTGACTTATAACTTTTAAAAAATAGAGTGGTTCAAAATTTTCCTATTAAAAATTTCATTTCTTCCAGAATTTATCATTCTCTGTTTTAAAAAAGATATATAACTTTCATCTTTTAAATTTGGTGCTTATCTATTCAGAAATATTAATTATTTAACCAGTGGTGTGCTGCTAAGTATTGAAAACTAGCTCCCTAGGGTTATTTTTTTTTTAAAAAAAAGTTTTGATGGTAGCATTTGTGGTTTTCTGTGTGTAAATAGTCTGACTTGGGCTGATTTTTTTGAGCTCAACAATCATTGTGATCATACTGAACTCAAGAGTTGGGAAAGAGATGTGTATAGTCAGCTCCCATGAGCTGGTGTATACTGGCTAATGAAATCTATTGTTGGATTCATTCAAACCTTATTAATTCTTCAGTGCCAGAGGATTTTTTAAACTGAAGGCTTGTTTAGTTATGCCCTTAAAGTAGGCAACAGGCATATCACAACAATTGGGCATGAAAAACCATAATTGTAATTTAAATGCTAAAAAATAAACAGACTTTACTTTCAACTTCTGAATATACAATTAAAAGTTAGATTTTTTTTTTAAATGCCATATCATTGAAATAACCCTGGAAATTGTTGAAAATAAGAAAAGCATCATTGCTTCTATAGGCTCTGATGTTTTCATAAGGGAACCTCCTAGTTTACAGTATTTAAGCTTACCATTTGAGTATAACTGTTCACTAATAGATACAAAATAGATTTCTTGATATTTAATCCATAACTTAACAAAATCAAAAGAACTATTGTAAATAAGTCTCGACTAAAAGCTTTTTCTATTTGTGGTTCACTACAGCATCTAATCTGATTCCAACTCAAACAACTGTAACAGCTGGAATGGGTATATTGCCATTCTTTCCAAATCAGCTCCTTGTTGGACAGGCGGGGCCGGGGCAGAGTAATTCTCAGGAGAAACAGCCAGCCACGGTGGGAATGGCAGAAGGAACTTTCTCAGGGTCGCAGGCTTATCTTCAGAGCTTTCCAAATCTTACTGTGGGAGGCTTGCTGACAGGACACCATAAGCAGCAGCAAAGTCAACCAAAAGGCACTGAAATAAGTTCAGGGGTAAGAAAACACTGTGTTTTTAACTATATTTTGAAGGAAATTATTCTAATGCAAGAGTATCCCATTCTTTTAGCTTATTTTACAAGTGGCAAATTTATGAAGTCTCTTAAAGCAATCTTAACTACTTTTAAATTTCAGAGGAAGTTAATAAATGCACTTAAATTACATAAATATGGATTACAAAGGAGAGATTGCTATGTCAATGATGTGATGGCTTTTTATAGTTTTACATTTACTTTTCAAAGTAGAGGATTGCATTCTTAAAAAAAGAAACAACCATGTATTATAAACAATCAAACAAACAAAAAAAAAAGAAATTCATCTTTTGATAAATTATGCCTGCTGACTGTTAAGACTCTGTTTAATTACTTGCCACTTTGTCTTAATTGTGTAAAATGAGTGTCATATGTAAACTAATTTGAATATGAATTCTTTATTATTATATTTGTTGATCTGAAAAGTTTAAGATGTGCATGATTTTCAAAACTATTTGATATTTTAAAGTTAATTTTGACTCATAAACTAATTTAATTTTAAAATTTTATAGTTGGAAAAGCTTAGCAGTATCATTAATACTTATCCAATTATTTAGTGATATTATTTATAAGGCTTTCTAAGGAAATAAATAATGTTGTTTTTAAAAATACATTGATTTTTCTCTATTTTAAATGTATATTATATGGCTAATTAAGATATTATTGTAATATTTAAAGGCAGAAACAATTTTATTTCACCTGAAAAATATCAAAGTCAGTTATTAAATTGGTCTGTTCAAAAGAATGTGATCTCTGTTTTAATTGTGGAAGTTTGTAACAAATCCTTCAATTGGTTCATTTATTTGTAAAATGTTATCATTAGTAGGTAGAATAAGGCATTTTAATTTTCATTTTATTTGGTTCCTGAAACATCCTTTGGTTTATAAGTGATATAAAACTAACCAGAAGGCTGGCGGTTCAAACCTACCAGCCACTCCTTGGAAGGAAGATGGGGCAATCTACTTCTGTAGTGATACTGCCTCAGAAACCCAAGGAGGGGTCGCTATGAGTCCGATCCAACTCCACAGCAGTGAGTTTGGTTTAAGTGTGTAAAGAAAAATTTAAGTAGTTGATTGTACTTTTCAAATGCCAAATTGATACTGAATTCGTGAGAGTTTTTGGTATCACATAGTCATAGCCAGAGGTATGGATGGAATGCCCTGCAATCACACCTGGAGAAAGCTATTATGGGATGAATTTTTAAAATTTATCTTCAGTGTCAGTAGCTTAGGTTATTGAAGAAAATTAAACAAGCAGCCCACCACCTGTCTGTCTGTTTGTCCTATGGTGGCTTGCATGTTGCTGTGATGCTGCAAACTGTACCACTAGTATTTCAAATACCAGAAGGCTCTCCTAGGGTGGAAAGGTTTCAAAAGAGCTTCCAGACCAAGACTAGGAAGAAAAGCCTGGTGATCTAATTGTGAATATTAGCCAATGAAAACCCTATGGATGACCACAGAGTATTATCTAATATAGTGCTGCAAGATGAACCCTCTAGGTTGAAAGACACTCAAAATGCACAACGTATTGAAGCACACCAATGGTCATGAACATGACCAGGATCAGGTAGCATCTTGTTCAGTTGTACATGGGCGAGTCAGAGCTGACTTTATGGAACTAACAACAACAACAAACAAGTAGAGTACATAATGAATACACTGCATGTTTTTGCAAAGACTATTTAATTCATTAAAAACATCAATGTCTTTATAAAAACTTGATTTGAGAGGATTCACATAATGGATAAATGAGCATCTATCAAGAGACAGACAAACAGAATGGGGCAGGGCCTGGAAAACAAGTTCTGTGAAGAAGAAATGGAAGATTTAGATACATGGAGATGGAAGATGGAGGACAAGCTGGATGTTCATGGGTAATCATAGGGTACTTTTTGTTTCTCCAGTGGGCAGAGTAGACCAGTAAGTAGAACATACAGTAGGGCATATTTAGGTCATATAAGTTTTCAAACAAAAAGAAAGTGTAACTGTCTTACAAAGATGTGAATGTCATATCTGAAAAAAGCTAAGCAACTCCCGAGGACAGCACCTGTCAGGGATTAAGTTTTCCAGTTGCAGAAGTTTAGACTTTGCTCAATAACAACTGTTTTAACTCATTAGGTTTTTAGACCTGCATCTTAAATTCTGTGCTGACCAGTGATTCTTGACTCCGCCTTTTTGTCAGAATCACCTGTGGAGTTTTGAAAAAAACAGAGAGAGGGAAAGGCCTGGACTCTTGTCCCATACCCCTGAGATTTTGATTCAGAAAGTTAGGGCTGAGAAATCTTGGCAGCTGTTTTTTTGTTTGTTTGTTTTGAACTTTATATGTGATTCTGATGCCTATCCAGACTTGAGAATCTATGATCTGGATATAACCTGATTTTCTTGGCACTTTTAGTACTTTAGAAGCAAGATCTGAGACCTCTCTAGTGGCTTCCTTTCCTTGGCTCACTTACCCATTGTATTTTCTTGAGGGCATTGTCTCTTATAAATGAGAAATGAGAAAGTTGGACAATGTGCCCTTTGATTGTGTCCATTCTAAAGTTCTATGGTTATGATAGAAGGAGCCCTGGTGGCGCTGTGGTTAAGTACTCGGCTGCTAACTAAAATGTTGGGGGTTCACCCACCATTTGCTCTGGAGGAGAAAGATACCATCAGAGCTCCTTCAAGAAATCAGACAATGTACTGCATTAGGCCAAATGTGCTGCAAAAGACCTCTTTAAAGTGTTAAAGAGCAAAGATGACATTTTGAAAACTAATGTGCACTTGATTCAAGCTGTGGTATTTTCAGTAGCTTCATATGCATGTGACAGCTGGACAAAATAAGGAAGACTGCAAAAGAATTGATGCATTTGGATTATGATGTTGGCAAAGAATACTGAATTTACAGTGGGCTTCTAGAAGAATGAACAAATGTTTCTTGGAAGAAGTATAGCCATAATGCTTCCTAGATGCGAGAATGGCCAGACTTTGACCCTCGTACTTTGGTCATGTTGTCAGGTGGGACCAGTCCCTGGAGAAGGATATCATGCTTGGTAAAGTAGAGGATCAGCAAAAAAGAGGAAGACCCTCAACGAGATGGATTGACCCAGTGGCTATGATGATGGGCTCAAGCATGGTGATGATTATGAGGATGGCACAGGACTGGGCAGTGTTTTGTTCTATTATACATAGCGTTGCTGGGAGTTTGAACTGACCCGACGGCACCTAACAACACACAACAGCTGTTTCTCTATTCCTTGTGCCTCTTATTAAGCACCCTGTCTTTTTGTTCTTGATATATAGGCTGCCTCTAAAAATCAGACTTCACTGTTAGGAGAACCACCAAAAGAAATTCGACTCAGTAAAAATCCATACTTGAACCTGGCAAGTGTCCTGCCCAGTGTGTGCTTATCATGTAAGTAAGAGCCCCCAGTATTAATATTTTGAAGATTTATTGGGTAATTTCCAAAATGAGTTTTACTTTAATCTTTAACAGAAAGGAAGCAAATAATGCCTACTGACCAAATTAAGGTCAAAATTATGTTACCCAATCTCTAAATTAATGGAATAATTAAAATTAAGACACTTAAAAGTATACACTTTTATTTGAAAAAATTATATAGTTTTTTTAAATTAAGAATATGATAAATTTATCATCATAGGATTAGGATTGAAAATAATTGGGGCAAAGAAAGTATTTGGTAACACTGTAATTCACATAGAGTTGCATTTCTAAACTAGGGGTTAAACCTCTAAGTAATCTAATACATACAGAGTATTTTTTTTATTCCCTGAGACATAGACAGATCTCAGAAAACAACCAGAAATACTCCAAAAATAGGAGTTTCAATAAAAGCAGAATTCTCATTTAGTTTTTTAGGAAGACTCTCTCAGACCTTCAATCAGTTAACTTTGATTCAAATGTAGTCTTAAGAGAAGATCAAAAATATGGCGTGCGTTAGGCACAATGATATTCACTGCAACATTGGTTGTCAATAGTGAAAAACTGGAAAGTGCCTTAACATTCACCAATAGGGGGATAGTTAAATAAATAAATAGTTCATTATCAATGGAATACTGTGCAACTTCTTAAAAACTGAGGAGTATGTACGTGTACTAATATAAAATGGTCTCCAAAGTGTATTGCCGAGTCTAAAAAGCAAATGTATGCATATGATGACTTCATTTATATTTATGTAAAGCTATATATTCTTATACATACATATATGACTATGTAAATGCATAATATAAATCTAGAAAAATGAATTCTAAACTGTGAAGGAGAATAGGATTGAATGAAAAGAGAGAAGTGTTAATTTCATTTTCATATACATTCTCTGTGTTTAGGAATCTTCTTACACATAAACATTAATTTGCAATTTTTTAAAAAAGCAGACATTTAAAATGTACTTTTAATGTAAGGTGTTCTTACTATATAGTGACCTGATCTAAGAATTGATGATGGCAACTATTGCATTAACAAGAATGGTTAATTTACATTTTGTGGTGGCATAGTGCTTAAAGGCATTTGACTGCTAACCAGAAAGCTGGTGGTTCAAACCCACCAGCCACTCCTTGGAAGGAAGGTTGGGCAATCTACTTCATAGTGATACTGCCTCGGAAACTAAGGAGGGGTCGCTATGAGTTGGATCTGACTCCACAGCAGTGAATTTCGTTTGGCTTTTTTATACCTTGTTTTAGAGACTAGATATCTTTTAATGTTTTCATAAAAATTATTTACCCATAGAGCAAATTTCCACTTCAGTTATTTCAAATGAATGAGGCAGTATCTCATAGTATATATATTTTTCTCCCTGGGGATAATAAATATATATTGGCAAACTAAAATTTGTGTCTGTTTGAGACTATACTAAGTTAATGAGTTATGTACTGTTTTTAATTTATAATAAAGCAACCTAAATAAAATAAATATATTGATTTCATCTTTAGCCCCTGCAAGTAAAACCACTCTACAGAAGACGGGAATTGCAAGCAACATTTTGGATGCAATTGCTCAGGGAAATGAATCCCAACATGCATTGGAAAAGTGCATCACATATTCTCAACCTTTTGCTGACTATGCACAGGTAAATGATTCTCAGGTTCTGATGATGTATATAGGAAAATTGGTTCAACTATATATTGAGTTCACTAAATGTGAAGTTTTAGTTCCTGTGATATTATAAGAAAGCAAAATTGCACTGATCTGTACAATATTTCTTGCTCACTCTTTGAAATTTTAGGACATATTCAAGAGATTGTTTAATAGTATGTATTGGATACTTACCTCTGATTGCTTACATCAGCAGTCAGCAAAGTACAGTTCACAGATAAAATCCAGCCTCCCAGTTTTTATAAATAAAGTTTTCTTGGAACATAACCATGTCCATTCATTTATGTATTGTCTATGGTCCTTTCACCCTACAGTAGCAGCTTTGAATGCTGTATTTTTTACATATGACGTGCCCACAGAAACAACACATACAAGCATATAATATACATAACACCCATAGGAAACTAATGTACAAAGGAGTTGCAAGGTTTCTAAAAAACAGAATGTGTGTTGTGTAAAAATACATTAGTTGCATTATGGCTTGCAAGATAAAAATATTACTGTCTGTTAACCTCTGGTTACTACCAGTGTAGCCCTACAAAACCCAAGGGAATGCCACTGTTCTTCACCAGTGCTTATAGATGTAGAAAGAAAGGCATAATTATAGGCATTCTGCTTACTTTCAGACCAATCAATCAATAACTTAAACATTATTATATTCAAAAGATGTAATGGGTCATTACTTGCATGTCAATTTTGCTTTGCTTCTTTCTTCTTCAGCTTATTTTTAGCACTTAAGGTGAGAGTAAATATGTTAGCACACTATGTGATTATGTAATCATGAGAGCCTTAATTAACAATTCTGATTCTTTCTTACTCCTCAAAGCAGTCAGCTTCTTCTCAACTCTATCCTATCTGTTGGAGCAGTGCCTTCACTTTGATTTCCTTGAAGCAGGTCTGTATCTGCCTGACAAGTGTGAATTCACTCAGAAAAATTCATGCCTGAGTATACTTTTTTGATAGGATACTAGAAAAACAAGTCAAATAGTGGCTATAAATATGGTACAGCTAGATATTAGCAAAACATAAAGTCTCTTATCATATACTTGCGAACAAAACTCAAAAATCAAAAAGGAGCTCTAGTGGTGTAGTGGTTAGGTCATTTGGCTGTTAATCAAGGTGGAGAAATATGTGTTGGAAGATGGTATAATTAGGTGATGACATGCCTCTATTTCCAACACTTGTCTGTCAGTTTGTCATACTGTGGTGGCTTGCATGTTGCTATGAGGCTGGAGGCTGTGTCACCAGTATTTCATATACTAGCATGGTCACCCATGGTGGACAGGTTTCAGTGAAGCTTCCAGGCTAAGACAGACTGGGAAGAAGGATGGGACCATCCACGTCTGAAAAAAATGGGCACTGAAAACCTTATAAATAGCAGTGAATTACTGTTTGATATATTACTAGGAAACTTCTTAAAGAGCAGTGAAACACTGTCTGATATAGCATTGGAAGATGAGACCCTCAGTTTGGAAAGCACACAAAATACAACTAGGGAAGAGCTTCTCTAAGCAGTCAGCTTCTTCTCAGCAGAGTCTTCTCTAAGCAGAGTCAACCTTAATTACATGGATGGAGTAAAACTTTTGGGACCTTCATTTGCTGAAGGGGCATGACTTAAAATGGGAAGAAACAACTGCAAACATTCACTAATAATTGGAACCTGGAATGTATGAAATATGAATCTAGGAAAATTGGAAGTTGTCAAAAATGAAATGGAATGCTTAAAGATTCAAAGCATTCAAAAAAACCAAACTATGAGAATCGACTCATAGCAACCCCTCCTTGGGTTTCCAAGGCAGTATCTCTATGGAAGCAGATTGCCCAATCTTCCTTGTGAGGAGTGGCTGGTGGTTTTGAACTGCCAGCCTTCTGGTTAACAACTGAAGATTCATTGGGTAATTTCCAAAATGAGTATCTTAGGCAATATACCACCAGAGCTCCTATCCTAGGCATTAGTGAGCTGAAATGAACTGGTTTTGGCTATTCTAAATCAGACAGTCACATGATCTACTATGCCAGGAATGACAAATTGAAGAGAAATGGTGTCACATGCATCATCAAAAAGAATGCTTCAAGATCTATCCTGAAGTACAGTGCTGTCAGTGATAGGATAATATCCATATACCTACAAGGAAGACCAGTTAATACTACTACTATTCAAATTTATGCATAAACCACTGACACCAAAGATGAAGAAATTGGAGATTTTTACCAACTTCTGCAGTCTGAAATTGACCAAACATGCAATCTAGATGTATTGATTATTACTGGTGATTAGAATACTAAGGGAGCTCTGGTGGTGTAATGCCTAAGGCATTTGACTGCTAACCAGAAAGCTGGTGGTTCAAACCCATTAGCCACTCCTCAGAAGGAAGATGGGGTAATCTACTTCCGTAGTGATACTGCCTCAGAAACCCAAGGAGGGGTCGCTATGAGTCAAGTCCAACTCGACAGCACATAACAACAACAACAACAACAATGACTTATTCATTGAAAATAAGTTTTTTTTCAACAACATAAATGGTGACTGTATACATGGACTTCACTAGATGGAATACACAGGAATCAAATCAACTAAATCTGTGGAAAGAGGTGATGGAGAAACTCAGTATCATCAGTCAAAACAAAGCCAGGAATGACTGTGGAACAGACCATCAATTGCTCATATGCAAGTTCAAGTTGAAGCTGAAGAAAATTAAAGCAGGTCTCTGAGAGCCAGCTTATGACCTATTATATTCCAGCTGAATTTAGAGACTATCTGCAGACCAGATTTAACACACTGAACATCAATGACTGCAAATCAGACGAGGTGTGGGATGAAGTCAAGAACATCAAAAGGTCATTAAAAAGACAGGAAAGAAGAAAAGGACAAAACAGCTATCAGAAGAGACTCTGAAACTTGCTCTTGAATGGATAGTAGCTAAAGTGAAAGGAAGAAATGTTGAAATAAACGAGCTTAACAGAAGATTTCAAAGGGTGGCTCAAGAAAACAAAGTATTATAATGAAATGTTTACCAAAAGGGAAGAACATGTTTGGTATTTTCTCCAATGGCAGTTCTCCAAGAACTGAAGTTAAAAATTCAAGCTTATATTGCAATATTGAAAGATTCTATGGCCAAAATACTGAACAATGTAGAAAGCATCAAAAGAAGGTGGAAGGAATACACAGAGAGTTACTGTATCGAAAGGAATTGGTTGATGTTCAGCCATTTCAGGCAGTGGCATGTAATCAAGAACCAATGGTATCAAAGGAAGGAATCCAAGCTGCTCTGAAGAAATTGGTGAAAAACAAGGTTTCAGGAATTGATGGAATACTCATTGAGATGTTTCAGTGAATGGAGGCAGCTCTGGAGGTACTTACTCATTTATGCCAAGTAATTTGGAAGACAGCATCCTGGCCAATCAACTAGAAGAGATCCATATTTGTGCCCATTCTAAAAAAAGGTGATCCAAAAGAATGTGGAAGTTGTCAATCAATATCATTAATATAAAGTACAAGTAAAATGTTGTTCAAGATAATTCAAAAATGGTTGCAGCAGTATGTTAACAGGGAACGTCCAGAAGTGCAAGCTGGATTCAGAAGAGGACGTGGAATGAGGGATATCATTGCTGATGTCAGATAGATCTTAGCTGAAAGCAAAGAAAACTAGAAAAATGTTTACCTGTGCTTTATTGACTATACAAAGGCATTTGACTGTATGGATCATAACAATTTATGGATAAAATTGAGAAGAATAGGAATTCCAGAACACTAAATTGTGCTTGTGAGGAGCCTGCACATAGACCAAGAGATAGTTGTTCCAATAGAACAAGGGAATACTGCATGGTTTAAAATCAGGAAAGGTGTGTGTAGTCTTTTACCATATTTATTCAATCTGTATGCTGTGCAATAATCCTAGAAGCTGGACTGTCTGAAGAAGAATGCAGTATCAGGATTGGAGCAAGACTCATTAACAACCTGAGATAGGCAGAGGACACAACCTTGCTTGCTGAAAGTGAAGATGACTTGAAGCACTTACTGATAAAAATTAAAGACTACAGTCTTCAGTATGGATTGCAACTCAACATAAAGAAAACAGAAATCCTCACAACTAGACCAATAAGCAGAATTATGATAAATGGAGAAAAAAAATGAAGTTGTAAATGATTTCTTACTACTTAGATCCACAATCAACACCCATGGACGCAGCAGTCAAGAAATCAAATGTTGTACTACACTGGGCAAATCTGCTGAAAAGGACCTCTTTAAAATGTTGAAGGGGAAAGATTCACTTTGAAGACTAAGGTGTGCCTAACCCAGGCCATGTTATTTTCAGTCACCTCATATACATGTGAAAGCTGGACAGTGACTAGGAAGACCAAAGAAGAATTGATGCCTTTGAATTGTGGTATTGGTGAAGAATACTGAAAATACCATGCATGCACTGCCAGAAAAATGAACAGATCTGTCCTGGAAGAAGTATAGCTGGAATGCTCCTTACAGGCGACAATGGCCAGACATTGTTTCACCTACTTGGGCATTTTGTCAGAAGGAACCAATCCCTGGAGAAGGATATTGTGCATGGTAAAGTGGAGGGTCAGAGAAAAAGGGGAAGACCGTCAGATAGATTGACACAGTGGCTGCAATGATGGGCTCAAGCATAGCAGATTGTGAGGATGGCACAGGAGCAGGCGCTGTTTCGTTCTGATGTACATAGGGTCACTAGGAGTCAGAATCGACTCTACAGCACCTAATGACAACAATAACAACAACATACTTATGTTTAAAGGGTGATTATGAATCAATGAATTCTGGAAGGTATTCTCTTATGTTATTTCATAAGCCTCCATCTTTAGTCCTTTATTATTTAACATTTTAATAATGACTTTGATGAGGACATTGATTGTATGCTGATTATATTTACAGTTGACAGAAGTCCATGAAGTTATCACAGATATGTGAAGACATTTATGAATTATTGATAGCTCTGAAAA